GAAGCAGAGGGTGTTGGTTGAGCCTGTGAACGAAATATTAAATTCATGGAACCAACACAACTGAGCAGCACATGGAGAGAGAAACTCACAAGGACTCTATCACCCATGCCTATATAAATGAAGGATCATTCGAGACTCATGAAGTCACAAGGACACCCACGGGCCATAGCAAAGACGAGTTGGCATGACAGACTGTGCTTCACACGAATAAACACAGATGATCGACTCACGAGAGCGTAGTCTGGGTGTGTGGCCGTCATTCCCGCCGCGGTTTCAGCTGCCAGCTCATCGAGCTGCGCTGTAGTCACGCCCTTGTACACGCCCATGCACACCTGACGGATGGAAGATTCAAGGGTACAGGACAGAAAATTATTTGGGACGAGTTTTGAAATGCCCCAGAAAAAGCCAGCTCATCGAGCTGCGCTGTAGCCACACACTTCTACACGCCCATGCACACCTGACGGATGAAAGATTCAAGGGTGCAGTAAAAAAAACATTTGGGACGGGTTTTGAGATGCCCCAGAAGATACTAGCTCATCGAGCTGCGCTGTAGTCACACACTTGTACACGCCCATTCACACCTGGGAAGATAACAGACCATTAGAAGGTGACAATGCAAGAGATGGATCATCAAAAGCAGGACTAGGAGTGACTTGCGCTTGCAACGTCCCGAGGATGACAGTGAAAGGGCATAAAGGTAACAACGAAAGGGTGATGGCGGCAAAGTGACAATAAAGGGGTGATAGCAGCAAGCGACGCGAGTGGACGATCCACCAGATTGAGGGGCTTCAGACTGTTTATCCAAGAGACGGTCCGTAACTTCTGATCCGTAAGACAACTGCTTATCCAAGCCATGGCCCGTAGCTTCTGATCCAAAAAGCGACTGCTTACATAGGGATGGCTCGTACCTTCTGAGCCACCAAGACCGGGTCGCAGAATTCCGTGCTGAGACCGTAGCTGAGCTTCTTCAAACGAGCGGTGATCTTATCGAAGTGCACGGCCTCCTTCCGGCCGTCGCGCTTGACAACGTACATCGCGAGGAGGACCGGAAGCCTTGTCTTGCGGCTCCTTTAACGCGAACCGAACAAATAATATCAGATAACAGCGGAACCGCGAAATGCAGCACGCTACAGTGAAAGTAGGAGGCAAAAACTGGTCCGTAAGATCAAATACCACTGGTGTTCGTCAGAAAAGCTCGAAATGTAGTGAGGTAAACGGACTGAACGATACTATGCGACCAAGGTGTGCGCAACAGACGCAAGACTATTAAGGGTTTTCACCAGGAGTGGGGTGATTAGGGCGGCCAGACGGCGACGGTGGGGATCGATGAAATTGGATCGGCAGACGATGGTAGTAGTCAACTCTGCGGGAACGTCTATGTGGCGACGGCAAGCTGGTGGCACGAGCACGTCCGGCTAATTAGGCTTGGTAACTAGCCTAGACTGAAAATGATCCCGAGGCACGTTGTAAGAACCAAAGCGCTTTGTGAGCGTTTGAATCAAAATCCTCGAAAAGCGCGTACGATCAGGTCAAGCTTATTCGGCTCGGTAGCTAGCCTAGCCTGAATACGATCCTGAGGCACACCCAAATCGTTGACACAGGTGAGATGCCTTGGTTCTAAAAACGCCAACTTCCCGCACGCCCTTCCAAGATTTGGTGCTGAGATTTTAGAACCAGGAGTTAGTGACCAGAAGGTGACGCTTGCGTCGAAGAAAATAATGCGGGTGATCAGCTCCAATCTATGCTATCTACTGAGCGGAATCGAAACAAAATGGGTTAGCCAGAAACGTCACCAGCAAGCAATCGAGACGCGACAGCCTACATTACATTACACCAAGGAACCACAGGGGGATGCTTTGCTGCCATGGCTGTCCATCTCTTGATCAAAGCCCCTAAAACACAATTCCGACTCCCCCACGAATCCGAGTGGGGGGAGAATGTCTGGAAAGCGAAACCTCGGGATTTTCGCTTTCGAGGCAGTGAACATACCTATGCCGTTGGATAGAGACTGGAAATTTTTTGAACGGCTGGATGCTCCTAAGGACCAACAGCGAACCCCAACACCCCTTGCTCCCCGCTTGTCTTCTCTGTGTCCACCTCGGCTCTCGCTCAGCTTTCGACGTGGTCGAGTGTGGTGGAAATGAAGATGAAATTTTGAACGTTTGCAAGCTTGAGTGCCTGGCTGAAATGGATTTGGACGATGATTGGTTCGTGCCTATCCGTGTGCCATGCGAGAGTATCGTCACCGTGAAGCCATCTCAACGGGATAGAGTGGAGTTCCATTGGAACAACTTCTTATTCTCAGATCCACACCCGTTAAAGAAGCATATATATTTTGCTCTCGAATTAAGAATGTAGAATCTCAGAGCCACCAAAAACTAGTAACACAGTACTATTCTGTTTTTTATCCCTTTAATATGCCAGAATATATAAGTATCATTTAATGTTTCGATGAAGTTGTTTTCATTTTTCAAATTTTGTAATATACTGTTTGGGAACTTGGACGAAATTATGCATGTTCTGTAGAATGCATCATCAGCCGGAGTTGTCTGCTTTGTCCCCGTCCATGTCGTGTGTAACAACCTTTTCCAACCAACCAAGAACAGGGAAGGCACATCCAAAAACAGGTTTCATCCGAAGCTTCTTTTTCCGACAATGATTGGCTGCTCCTTCGCGAACTGGCCTTCCAGTCGGCGCTGGTCCTGAACGAATCTCGCACAGCGCCTCCCCCAGCCGCTGATCTCTGACCCTGTCAAACCAATCATCTGACAAGTGGTCGGTTTGCTGGCAAACTCGCAACACCTACAGTATTGGTGGGATGACGGGGATGTGAGTGTTTCTGTTCGATCAACTGACAGATCATCACATCACACCACAAGAAGATTCGGTGTAGTGCGGGGTTCATTTGTTTCGTACGGTCTAGTTCGGTCAAGTGACAAGCTCTGCTTTCCTTTTCCAACCTTGGAGGTAGGTCGGTTCACCATGAATTTATCGTCTTTATCAAGATAACCTTTGTTTGTTCTACCTAATGACAGCACACATAAGAGAATGCAGGGTCCTGGCTCTTGACTAAGTCGTCGACGCTAGAGCTCAGTTCAGCTTGAATACATGTCGGTATCGTATATTTGGTCCCACCCTGGTCGCGATAAACAGCAAAATTTACGGCTAGTTTCGCTGGTCTGAAGAACGAAGCTGGCCTTAATTTCCTCTCCGCGATTTGACGTCGCAGACGTTTTGACGGTAGAAGTCCTCGCTTACCGAGGCAATAGTTATCCTTTCAGACTTGCGGGATCATTCCCAGATTTCTGAAACCTATCGTCGGACTCAGTGGTTCAAGAATTAGTCCGCTAGCGATCTTCTTCGGCCTTTTAGCTTCTGACCAGCAAGAAAATGGATTTCCATCAACCAATATTCGGGCTTAGAAGCATGGCGAACGTTAGATGCCTGGTTCTCGTCGTCGTGTTTGCAACACACATGGTGCTAAGTGGATCCATAACCGAGAAGTCATGGCTAGTACCGTCCTCGACCGTCTCATCCTCTGCCAGTGATCTTAAATCCACCGAGGCGACACCATGGCTAAGAATTCTCCATTCCTGGATGCCATGGAGGTAAGCCTACCTTTTTGCCTTCAAAAATCTCATGAGTGCGTTATGACATTTCCAAAAATACACCGCCTCTCGTCCCCTTACCTCCGTTCTTTTGTCCCGATCTCCGCGTGGTCTTGCCTGATGCTCAAATTCAGGGTGTTCGCCAGCCAATCGCATCGCCGGCAGGTGCAATGTCAGCAGGAGCTGGATGATCTCAGGCGATGGTTCCAGGGAACGCATCAGGAGCTCCTGCTTGGACCAGGGCGTGAAGAACAAATGGAGAGGAAGGGCGAGAAAGGGAGGGTAAAGAGCAGAGACAATAACGGGGATAGGAATGTGCAGGAGGACAAGGAAGCTGACGACGTGTGGGACAAGGAGGACGGGGATGAGAAGGAGGAGAGCGGGAGATTAGATGAGGCTGGAGAAAAGACGGATGGGGAGAACAAACAGTTCCGTGTCTCTGATGACTTAGAGCTCATTCTAAGCCACGGGCACTCCCGGGTGAGGAGGAGATTGACAGGAATACACCATACCAGCGCCAGGCTTGCAGACTGCGTGCCGTGCACGGGCGATAACGATGCAGAAGAGTCGAAGAATGCTTTGCAGGGATCTGCACCATGCTGCGACCCGCTGGTGTTGAAGCTTAGGGTTCAGACAGCGGATCTGGAAAGGCTTATGGGGCAGATTGCAGAGAAACAGGTGAGGGTTGAGAAACAGGTGAGGGTTGCAGAACAGGTGAGGGTTAGAAAACAGGTGAGGCGAGCAACAAGCAAGGTGAATGGGTAATCTGCGCCGTGCTGTGACCCGCTGGTGTTGAAGCTTAGGGTGCAGACAACGGATCTGGAGCAGGGCTCAGGCTATCAGGGTAAATGCTCGTTTTTGACTGAAAATCCAAGGTAGTTTTCAGACGAACTCGGATTTTTACAGGGGAGTTTTTCGGCCAGCTCTGACTGAATCCGAGCACTTCCAGGACTGACCCTGGTGAATACGAGTAATCCCTCGAAGGACTCGGACCTTTTTCTTAGGCTCTAACCACCCCCAAACCTCGGCCCCTCCCCTACACAGGGAGAATTCTCCCCCCGCTTCCTGGACTTGTGAACATTTCCCTCCCGCCCCCCCCTCTGTTCCTTAGCCAAATCGGAGGCACCTATGCTCTATCGCTCTCTGTGAGCAGAGTTCCACACGAAAGCAGCACAAGTGCACCAACAGAGTGTTTCAGCATCAGCTTTTGTCAGAAAGAAGTCCCCATTGCCGCGGAACTATCGAACTACGTAAACGAGGAATTTTTAGGCCAGCCCTGATTTTTACGAGCGGTTTTTAGGCCGACCCTGCGTTTTCAGGGCGTTTTTTGAAGGGAGCCAAAACGTCCGAGTTGGGGAAAAGCCTAACTTCAGCCCTGATCTGGAGAGGCGTATGGGGCAGATTGCAGAGAAGAATGTGAGAGTTGCAGAACAGGTGAGGGCTGAGAAACACGTGAGGCAAGCAACAAGCAAGGTGAATGGGTAATCAGCGCTGTGCTGTGACCTGCTCCTAGTGTTGAGACTACAGGATCTTTGACCGTGGACTGGAGAAGGTTACGGCGCAAATTGCAGAGAAACAGGTGAGCATGCAGAGGGATGAACGGTGAGTCACCCTCAATGGATGAGCAGGTGAGCGCTTTGACAGAAACCTAAAACCCTGGACCCTGGAACCGGTCAGTTGTCTCTATTTCAGGGACTGTAAGGGCCCGTTTTGATTGTTGCTTTAAACCCGAAACCCCCCGCTGTGTTTCTCAAGTCTCAATATCTCAAAATCTGACTGTTACTCTGCTGTACCCCTTATTGTGTGACGCATTATGGCAGGCGGAGAGCAAGCGGGTGAGCCGAGAGAAATACGTGCTGAATAAGAAGCTGAGCAGAGCTGATATCAACTGGGAGGCAGCGTTTCTATCGAACCAGGTGAGGCCTCATTGTCCCCACCCACCCATTGCACGGGGCATCTTTTTCGAGGTGATTAGCCGGTTTCGTTTTTCAAACTGAGCTGAGTGGTGCAATGGACATGGCGTTGTGGCTGACTCACAGCTTCCCACGCCTCTTTTCTCTCCTATACCTCACCCTTCACCCCTCTACAGACCATGCATGAGGCGCAGATGACAGTGCAGCGGTGCAACGGGCATGGCATTGTGGCACAGCAGGGCACGCTGGTGTGGAAGGTGAGGGGAGGGGCTTCCATACAGGTTTTCAGGCTTAGGGTTGGGGATTTTTTGTCTATAATCCAAAGCATTGGTTTGTGGGAGTGCATTTACCTAGTCTACCTGCCTTACCATTTCCTCCCCGCCTCCTCCTACACATGTGACGCATCAGACGAGGCTCTTAGGCAGTACACAGCATATGACGCCAGTGGGGCGTGCCCTGACGACTGGTTTGCCACCCAGTCGCTCATCTTCCACCGCTACTGCTGTCTGTTTCCACCACTCCTTCTCCTCTTCTGCTCTCCTCCCTTGCACCTCTCAGGGCTACACGTGTGATGCGCCAGACAAGGCTCTCAGGCAGTACACAGCATACGACACCAGTGGGGCGTGCCCTGATGTAATCCCTCCGTCTTTCCCCCCTCTCCCCCACATTCCCCAGGGCTACACGTGGGATGCACCAGATGAGGCTCTTAGGCAGTACACGCCATACGACGCCAGTGGGGCGTGCCCTGACAACTGGTTCGCCACACAGCCTCTCATCTTCCATTCGTCCCATTCCCATGTTGCCCCCATTCGTCCCCACCAGGGCTACACATGTGATGCAGCAGACGAGGCTCTCAGGCAGTACACGACATATGATGCTAGCGGGGCGTGTCCTGACGACTGGTTCGCCACACAGTCGCCCGTCTTTCAATACCGCTGCTTACTGATTTCACCATCTCCTCCCATCTTCCCCTCTTCCTCTTACCCTGTTGCCCCCACTGTCAACCTTCCAGGGCTACACGTGTGATGCACCAGACGAGGATCTCAGGCAATACACATCATATGATGCCAGTGGGGCGTGCCCAGATGACTGGTTCCGCACCAAGTCGCTCATCTTTCAGCACTGCTGCTAACTGCTTCCTCCATCTTTTCCCATCTTCTTTCAACCCCCCAGGGCTACACGTGTGATGCATCAGATGAGGATCTCCGGCAGTACACGACATATGATGCCAGTGGAGCGTGCCCTGATGACTGGTTCGCCACCCAGTCCCTCATCTTTCAACATCGCTGCTTCTCCCTGCCGCAACGCCGCTGCCGCGCCCGCACCACCAACCAAACAATCAATGTGAGCACTTATGCCTTGTGTGTCGACCAAACCATCATGTCAGTGGGCCATACACGCGCGCATACCATAAACCCTAAACCCTTAACCCCTGGGGCATGTTTAACATTCTTGGCATGCAAACGCACGCACACGAAATCCCACTAGAGGCACACCACATGAGCATACATGCACGCCATGCATCCAGCCTCTCCTTCCGCGTCCCTCCTCCTCTTCCCCCTGCTCCAGCCTCTACCATTCCCCCAGGCCTTGTTCAACCTCAGTGCGCTCATAGACACAGCTCTGGCGTGGGACCACCACGCCTGCTCCTCCTTCGCCTGCCTCAACGCCCGCGTTGTGGGGGACTGCCGCCTCTGCTTCAACCTCACGCGTCCTTTCTCTGTTCCCTGTGTTCCTCTGCATGTCCGATCTTCTTCATCCCAGCCACTGCCTTTCCCCCAGGCTCTTTTCAACCTCAGTGCCCTAATAGACGCGGCTCTAGTGTGGGACCACCACGCCTGCTCCTCCTTTGCCTGCCTCAACGCCCGCATTGTGGGGGACTGCCGCCTCTGCTTCAACCTCACTCTGGAGAGGAATCGCTGGCGCGTGCGGTACAGGGGCTCTTTGACCATAGAGGATGTGCTAAAGATAAAAAAGGGAAGCATCAGGTGAGACCTGATACACCAGGAGGAGAGGAAGTGGTGTATGGGGGACTGCCGCCTCTGCTTCAACCTCACTCTGGAGAGGAATCGCTGGCGCGTGCGGTACAGGGGCTCTTTGACTATAGAGGATGTGCTTAAAATGAAGAAGGGAAGCATCAGGTGTGACGGATTACAGACTGCAAAGTTCCCATTCTCGTTAAACTCACTCTAGTCATTGGCGGCGGGACAGGAAGCTTTGCAGCGCACATGGCGTGGCACTGTGTAACATAATCACCCGCACCACATGGTACCTCTTCTTCCCATCCCACTCTCTCTCATCCCATATATCTAGGCTTGGCTTGGACATTGGCGGCGGCACAGGCAGCTTTGCAGCACACATGGCGCTCCGCAACGTGACAATCCTCACCACTGGTCCTGTTTCACTTCGTCCTGCCCCACTCTCCATTACTCCGCGTGTGCAGGCTCGGACTGGACATTGGCGGGGGCACTGGGAGCTTTGCAGCGCACATGGCGCTGTACAATGCGACCATGCTCACGACGGCCATGAACGTAGAGACAGTGGTGGGGCGCAAGCAGGGATTACCCTATATGGAGGCTATAGCTTTGAGAGGGCTGATTCCCCTGCACCTACCTCACAAGGTATGTGTTCTGTTCTGTGAGCTGAGTGGTGTGTGCAGTGTGCTTCCGTCTGTATCCTACGCACATGGCTCTGTACAACGTGACCATACTCACCACGGCCATGAATGTGGAGACTGTGGTGGGGCGCAAGCAGGGGCTGCCCTACATGGAGGCCATTGCTCTAAGAGGACTCATTCCCCTGCACTTGCCACATAAGGTGAGCCTGGCTGTAGGCTGTGGGTTCGTGTGGCGTGTGCTGTCCTCTGTACCCTACGCACATGGCCTTTGTACCATCCTCACGACGGCCATGAATGTGGAGACCGTGGTGGGGCGCAAGCAGGGGCTGCCATACATGGAGGCCATTGCATTGAGAGGTCTGATCCCTCTCCATCTGCCACACAAGGTATGTGTTCTTTTCTGTGAGCTGAGTGGTGTGTGCAGTGTGCTTGGTCTGTATCCTACACGCATGGCTCTGTACAACTTGACCATCCTCACGGCCATGAAAGTGGAGACTGTGGTGGGGCGCAAGCAGGGATTACCCTACATGGAGACCATTGCATTGAGAGGGCTGATCCCTCTCCATCTGCCACACAAGGTGGGTGCTGCCTCACAGCGTCAACAGCGTCAACTACCAGCCCCCCCTTCCTCTACTCCACCCTAATTTCCCATTCTCTCCGTTCGCCCTCCCTCCGTGTCATATCAGGCCCGTCTACCCTTCTTCGACGGCTCGTTGGACATCATTCACAGCGTCAACAGCATCAAGTACCTTCCCATGCTGGAGTTTGAAGAGATGCTCTTTGAATGGGACCGTGTGCTGAGAGTCGGTAAGTCCTTATGCTGCTAGCCATGTGGTAACCATGTGGTAACCATGTACCTAACAGCATCAAGTACCTGCCCATGCTGGAGTTTGAAGAGCTGCTCTTCGAGTGGGACCGCGTGCTACGAGTCGGTGAGTTCGCATAACTGCCTCCCTGTGCTCATACTCACGTGGTAACCATGTGGTAACCATGTACCTAACAGCATCAAGTACCTGCCCATGCTGGAGTTTTAAGAGCTGCTCTTCGAGTGGGACCGTGTGTTACGAGTTGGTATGACTTGGCAACCACGTGCGTCCTTATGCTGGTAACCATGTGGTAACCATTCCACAGCGCCAACAGCATTAATGCTGGAATCAAGCCAATGTTGGAGCTAAGCCAGACCCAGCAGAATGCAAGGCAGCAGAAGGCAAGGCAGCAGAAGGTAAGGGGGCCCGTTCATGTGTACCTGACTTGCCCGCTTTTCCACTTCCCCCTTCCCCCCTGTTACTCCTAGGTGGGGTCATCTGGCTGGAGATGTTCTACGCCCCTTGAGACAAGTTACCGGTCTATGTGGCCATCCTCACCCTATTCCTCTTAGTTGACTACAACCATCCGATTCCCCTTCCTCTCGTTCATGTCAGTCCACTCCCTCTCAGGTGGTGTCATCTGGCTGGGGATGTTCTATGCGCCTCTGGACGAGTTCCCAGTGTATGTCGCCATCCTCAACCTCCTCGCCTACAACCGCCTGCACTGGCGCGTGCTTCTCAAACCAGAAGGACCTAGAGAGGCATAAAGGACCTTATATGTGACCCGCTTCCCCTTTCCCTGCCGTCCCCCTTCCCCTGCTTTCCCCCTTCCCCTGCTTATCCCCCTCCGCCCTGTCCCTCTCAGGTAGAGTCATCTGGCTGGAGATGTTCTATGCGCCTCTGGACGAGTTCCCAGTGTATGTCGCCATCCTCTGGTGGCGTGTGCTGGCTTCGCCATCTCACCTACAACCGCCTGCACTGGTGGCGTCTGCTGCCTTCGCCTCCCTCCCCTGCCCTCCCCTGCCCTCCCCTGCCCTCCCCTGCCCTCCCCCACCTTCATTCAGGTGGTGTGATATGGCTGGACGAGTTCCCAGTGTATGTTGCCATTCTCAACCTCCTCGCCTACAACCGCCTGCACTGACGTGTGTTGCCCTTCCTTTCTCTTCCCTTGCCTGCCCTCCCCCACCTTCATTCAGGTGGTGTCATCTGGCTGGAGATGTTTTATGCTCCGCTAGACGAGTTCCCGGTCTACATAGCCATCCTGAATCTCCTCACCTACAATCGCCTGCACTGGCGCGTGCTGCCCTCTTTTCCCCTCCCCTGCCCTCGCCCACCTTCATTCAGGTGGTGTGATTTGGCTGGAGATGTTCTATGCGCCTCTGGACGAGTTCCGTGTATGTAGCCATCCTCAACCTCCTCACCTACAACCGCCTGCACTGGCGTGTGCTGCCCTCTCCTCCTCTCCCCTTCCCTCCCCTCCCCTCCCCTGCCCTCGCCCACCTCCATTCAGGTGGTGTGATTTGGCTGGAGATGTTCTATGCGCCTCTAGACGAGTTCCCAGTGTCTGTCGCCATCCTCGATCTCCTTGCCTACACCCGCCTGCACTGGCGCGTGCTGCCCAAACCACCAACCTCTTGTGCTGAAACTAACTACACCGCCCCTGCCCTCCCCTGCAGTTCCCTGCCCTCCCCTGCCCTCCTCTGCCCTCCCCCACCTTCATTCAGGTGGTTGTGATCTGGCTGGAGATGTTCTATGCTCCGCTAGACGAGTTCCCGGTCTACGTAGCTATTCTCAATCTCCTCGGATACAACTGCCTGCACTGGCGCGTGCTGCCTTCGCCTCCCTCCCCTGCTCTCCCCTACCTTCAATCAGGTGGTGTGGTCTGCTGGAGATGTTCTATGCTCCCCTAGACGAGTTCCCGGTCTACGTAGCTATTCTCAATCTCCTCGGTTACAACCGCCTGCACTGGCGTGTGCTGCCCTCTCCTTCCCTTCCCTTCCCTCCTCTGCCCTCCTCCGCCTTCATTCAGGTGGTGTGATTTGGCTGGAGATGTTTTATGCTCCATTGGATGAGTTCCCAGTGTATGTCGCCATCCTCAATCTACTCGGTTACAAACATTTGATCCCTCATCCTCTCCCTTCTGTCACTCCCAGGTGGTGTCATCTGGCTGGAGATGTTCTATGCTCCCCTAGACGAGTTCCCAGTCTATGTGACCATTCTCAATCTCCTTGGTTACAATCGCCTGCACTGGCGTGTGCTGCCAAAACCAGACCCGGCAGAGCGCAAGGGGCCCCATGTGTACCTGAATTGCCTTCTGGAGAAACCAGTTAGGAGAGAGGAGGGGTGGGTGGAGGGTGGGAGGAGGAGGGAGGAGGGGCTGGAGGAGGGAGGGAGGAGAGAAGTTGGGGGAGTGGAGGAAGAGGGGAGGAGAGCGGAGGGGGGAGGGAAAGAGGGAATGGAGATAGAAGTGGGGGGAAGGGAGGAAGGGGGAGGAAGAGAGGAAGGGAAAGGAGAGGGATTGAGGAATCATCGGTCAGAGGGAGACGTTGAGGAAAGGAGGAGGATCGAAGGGGCGGGCATAGAAGAAGGAAGCAGGCAAGAGAAGGTGGAGGAGGATGGGAAAAAGGAAGAGAGGAATGGGAAGATGGAGAGGAAGGAAGAGGAGAGGAAAGAAGAGGTGGTGAAGGAAGAATCAGATAGAACTGAAGAGCATGGAAGAGAGGAAGAGAGGAGAGAGGAGAGAAGAGAAGGGAGAAGAGAATATGGGAGTGAAGAGTGGAATGGAGAGGTGGTTGAAGAGGTGGGGACGAGCATTGAGAAATTTGCAAGAGAGTGGTATAGGGAGGAGGAGGGAAGCAGGGAGGGAGGAGCAGTCAGGGAGGAAGAGGCAGCTACGAAGGACGAGATTCAAACTGCCAAAGAAAAGGCGGAACGTCAACGCCTACTTGCGAGGTTGCAGCAGATGAGGGAGAGGAAGGCGTGGTGGCGATTGTTCGGAAGGTGACTGTCTGAAATAACTCCTCCGGATCAATCATCTGTGCCATGGGTGGAGTTCTGAAGCGCCTCAAAAGATCATCTCATTGATTTTTGAGTCGACTCAAAAATCACCTTGGATCAATCAAGACACAGAGGATATCTGTGCCGTGGGTTGGAGTTCTGAAGCGCCTTAAAATCCCACGGGTGGAGAGAGAAACTTGGATGCGGCAAGGCAACAAGCCACCCAATGCGTCAGTCTCTGAATGCACCTTGGGTGTTGTGGTGAGGAGATGCAGTGGATGGGGAGAGGAGGTACAGGCCATGGGGAGAGGAGATACAGGCCGTGGGGAGAGGAGATACAGGCCATGGGGAGAGGAGATACAGGCCGTGGGGAGAGGAGATACAGGTTGTGGGGAGAGGAGATACAGGCCGTGGGGAGAGGAGATACAGGCCATGGGGAGAGGAGCTTGGTGGTGGTAGGGGTCTCTGGAAGGTGGCTCTATGGAGTAGCCTTGTCTGAGACCGTCAAGGAGCGGCTTCTAAGGCGCCTCAAAAGGATGGGGAGAGGAGCTTGGTGTTGGCAAGGGCCTGGAAGGTGGCTCTATGGAGTAGCCTCGTCTGAGACCGTCAAGGAGCGGCTTCTAAGGCGCCTCAAAAGGGTGGGGAGGGGAGCTTGGTGGCAACGGCCTGGAAGGTGGCTCTATGAAGGATCATTTTCTGAGACCATCGAGAAGCAACTTCAAGGCCCCTCAAAAGGATGGGGAGGGGAGCTTGGTGTTGGCAAGGGCCTGGAAGGTGGCTCTATGGAGTAGCCTCATCTGAGACCGTCAAGGAGCGGCTTCTAAGGCGCCTCAAAAGGGTGGGGAGGGGAGCTTGGTGGTGGCAACGGCCTGGAAGGTGTCTCTATGGAAAAGCCTTCTTAGGGACCGTCAAGAAGCGGCTTTTAGGCGCCTCAAAAGGTTGGGAGGGGAGCTTGATGATGGCAACGGCCTGGAAGGGGGCTCTGAAGAAGGCTTGTTTGAGTCTGTGAAGAAGCAGAAGTGAGAAGGGAGAGAGGATCACGAGGCAAGGGAGAGGAGATTTTGGTTGTGCGGAGCTCGCAATAGTACAAGTTGCTCATGCCCTGTGTCAGCCAAGCAACTCAGTCAGGTCATCTGTGCTTGGGTTATGAGTCAGGTGAGAAGGGCAAGGAAGAAATGGGGGGGCGAGGGGAGTGTAGGAGGACGAGGCAAAAGGGTAGGCAGCCTTGGCGGGTGGGGTTCTGCGATTTTTTGAAACAATCTGAGTCGACCTTTGGTGTGTGGTGTGGTGTTATCTTCAAATTGAAAGGCATTTGGCACCTTCAAATGGTGCTATGAAATCACTTCAAGCATTTTGTTTCTGTTTTCTTCTTTGGTGTGCAGACTGCTTAAGACAAATGCAAGGATTCTGTGGCAGTGATTCCTTCCTCCGTTTGGCATCCCTGATCTGAGGTTACCCAGGCGAGATAGTTTGGTAGCTTCTATGTGATTCGAGCCATGTCAATTTTACGTTGTGTACTAATCGAAGTTGTGAAGATGTTACCTGTAGGTGTATCGACTGTCAATCTCAAGGGGTATGAGGTCGGTCATGATTCTGTCGGTTTGTTGTTGGTCGGTGTTCGCCCTTTTAACCTTTCGTAACCCCTAGGTTCAGGGTCGGGTCATCCAGCAGGGTACACCCACGACAGGAGGTGTACACGTCTGACACTCCAAGAAAGGCTCAAGGAGGTAGGACACGGATCGAAAACAAGAATGGAGTTGTTATGACAATTCTACAATGAAACTCCACAATTCACATTGCGGTTTGTGCTAAAGATTACACTTACGACATCTGGTCGGGACACCATCAATCTGTTCGGGTTTTTCGAGCTTTGACCAATGAGTTAGGGAAACCATGACGTATTACCCCTCTTCAATCAGGGACACGCAACGCAACGGCTTCAAGCTTTGACCATTGGAATGGGTTCTCTTTTTGCGTGCGACGCGAAATTTCAATCCGCGTCTCGAGTGTAGAAAATGGCGGCGAGAAAAGTGAGCCACGGCTCGGATTCACCAGCTTGGTGCTTTCCACATCACATCACACATCACAAACAGTGCAGAAGAGAGCAATCGTCGTGATTCGTGGCGTGAGGCAACTCTGAATGCTGTTCGCCTTGAGTGGTCACTTCGCTTCACTCCTGCGCTGCAGTCTTCGATGCGCGAACTCTTTTACTGTACCAGTAGCCACCGACACATTCTCCTCCCTCCTGCTTCCCTAAACGTCGACTAAATAAACGCGATGGATGCGTTACGGGGCATTTCCCCAGTTAGCCCGCCCCCCACCCAACCACCGCCCCACGTAACCTCGTTATGGCTCCTCAGCTAAGGTGGAGTGGCGAGATCAAAAGAACCCAGATGAGCTCCTCCTGATCGCATTGTACAAACGCCGTGCGCTTGTGCTCTCACCCCATTCCTTTCAGTCTGACTCGAGCGGCCTGTCAGCTACCCTAACAAATTGCAACGAGCACATAAAACATAAGCTTTAGAATCAAGCGTAGCAGCTTCGTACAATAGTTGGAGCTGGTCGTACCAGCTTTGAACCGCCGCCACCGCCACCGCCATGAGGCGTCACTTGCTTCTCGCAGCGATGCTGCTGGTTGTGTTGTTCGCCGGCTCGGTGACTGCAGCGCCACGGCTTGTAGGGCAGAAGGTGGCGGGTCCAGCAGTAGTGGGCGCGGGAGCTGATATCGTTGTGGCGAAGGACGGGAGCGGCGGTTACAGCTCCGTCAAGGTACGCACGCATCCGACCTAGCGACTGTCGCATCGCGCCTCCCACATGGCGCCTACCGCATCGCGCATTTCCAGAACGGTTTCAATTGGCAGTATCAGAAACGCCGCTGTGGCCAATGCAGTCGTGGTTACATTCGCCATTCTGGGTCTTAGCTGGATCGGTTCACAGGCTTCGTACGAATACATTTCCCAATCCCCTCCATGCACATTCTGTTCTTCTTACCACTAACAGGCGGCACCCGCTGCTGCCCAATTTATTTTTGAGGCGCTTCAGGGATGAGATGAAATTACCGCCGTTTCATCCACCCACCCCCCACCCCTCCCTGCCTCTCCTGATTCTCGCATTGACAGGATGCGATTGCTGCTGCGAGATCTGGTACCGCAAGCCGCTACTTCATCATTTTCATCAAAGCGGGGGTGTATAATGAGCAAGCTATAGTAAGTTCATCATTCTCATCCGAAACCCAAACCCGCGTCAGATTAAACTTGATTTGCTTCGCACCCAACACTTCCTCCCGCTTACCACCACCTTCTTGGCCAAGAACATACCCTCGCGCCCGATCCCTTCGTCGTCATTCCCTCTTTCCGTGTAACTAACTCGTTTTCAAAATCGTCCCTTGTTCGCACGCCGCGTCGCACGATCGCAGCTGCCCGCGTCGCTGAGATTCATTGCGCTCGTGGGCGAGAACGGCACGAAGATCACGGCCTCGAATTCCTCGGGGCAGTCGAACCTGAACGATTGTTCCACATTCTGAAACGCCCCTTGTTCGCCCATTTTTCGCCCCTTGTTCGCTGAATCGCCATCGCAGCTGCCCGCGTCGCTGAGATTCATCGGGCTCGTGGGCGAAAACTGCACGAAGATCACGGCTTCGAATTCTTCGGGACAGTCCAACCTGAACGACTGTTGCACATTCTCAAAAAAGCCCATTGTTCGCCCCTTTTTCGCCCCTTGTTCGCCGATCGCAGCTGCCCGCGTCGCTGAGGTTCATTGCGCTCGTGGGCGAGAACGGCACGAAGATCACGGCGGCGAATTCCTCGGGGCAGTCAAACCTGAACGACTGCTCGACATTCCAACTGCTCGCATCCGACGTGGTCGTCTCAAACATCATCTTTGAAAACGCGCACGGACCGGGCGTGCAGGGCGGGTACGTTTTTTCCCTTGGGTTGACACAATTCCTCGGGTAAGTCCAACCTGAACGACTGCTCCACATTCCAACTGCTCGCGTCGGACGTGGTTGTTTCAAACATCATCTTCGAAAACGCGCACGGACCGGGCGTGCAGGGCGGGTATGTTATTTGAGTATACCTAAAACTCAGTCAAACCTGAACGACTGCTCCACATTCCAATTACTCGCGTCAGACGTTGTTGTCTCAAACATCATCTTCGAAAACGCGCACGGACCGGGCGTGCAGGGCGGGTACGTTCTTTCTCTTGAGTTGACTCAATTCCTCGGGGAAGTCCAACCTGAACGACTGGTCCACATTCCAACTGCTCGCTTCAGACGTGGTTGTTTCAAACGTCATCCTCGAAAACACACACGGACCGGGCGTGCAGGGAGGGTGTTTCATCTGACGAGTCTGTCATGTGCCATGGCCTGCGACGTTCGTCCATTCATTTCACTTGCTACTCGTTTCTGATACATGAGGCTCGTAATGCGTTAAAACAGTTCAACACCGCGCCCCCTGAACGGCAGATTGATTGCGCAATCTGCTCGTTGACTCAACCGACTCATTCGTTCATCTCGGTTCCACTTTTTCGTCTCTGTGCTACGAACGGCAGGCAGGGGGACCAAGCCGTGGCCGTGAAAGCCACCGGGACCCGCGTTGCGTTCTACGGATGCACGTTCCTCGGGTATCAGGACACTCTGTACGCGGCATCCGGGCTCCAATACTACAAGAATTGCGGTACGCAATGCTTTTTGTTGTCCGTTATCTTACGATCGAGCAGCTAGTGCCTGCATTTGAGAATTTGAGAAGGCATCTGTAAATCCTTTCGCCCACAGCCTGTGTCCTCGCTCACTACCTCCTTTCTTCTTCGCTCCCTCCTGACTCATTCCTCCTTTCCTTACTACCATACTCTTCCCCTCATTCCGCTCCCCCCAGTCATCCAGGGCTCCCCCCAGTCATCCAGGGCCGAGTAGACTTCGTATTCGGCAATGCCAAGGCCCGCTTTCACACCTGCCAGTTCAACCTATCCGCCTAACTCATTCCCCCCTTTCTTCTTCCCCTCGTTCCGCACTCCCCGGTCATCCAGGGCCGCGTGGACTTCGTGTTTGGCAATGCCAAGGCCCTATTTCACAGCTGCCTATTCAATCTAGTGTGTTAGGGCGGTGGTTATCTCGCTCAATCTCACTCTGAAGCATTTCCCCTTTCTTCTTCCCCTCATTCCGTTCCCCCAGTCATCCAGGGCCGTGAACTTTGGGTTCGGCAATGCCAAGGCCCTCTTTTACAACTGCCTATTCAGTCTAGTGTGTTAGGGCGGTGGTTATCTCGCTCAATCTCACTCTGAAGCATTTCCCCTTTCTTCTTCCCCTCATTCCGCTTCCCCCAGTCATCCAGGGCCGTGAACTTTGGGTTCGGCAATGCCGAGGCCCGCTTTCACAACTGCCAGTTCAACCTATCCGCCTAACTCATTCCCCCCTTTATTATTCCCCTCGTTCCGCACTCCCCAGTCATCCAGGGCCGCGTGGACTTCGTATTCGGCAATGCCAAGGCTCTCTTTCACAACTGCCAATTCAACCTGGTGTACTGGGGAGGCGGTTACTTCGCACAGTCTCGCGAAAAGGGTGATGATACCGGCTACGTGATTCTTGGTGGTGCCCTGAGTCCCCTCGGCCCGGGCCCGATTAAGCCTGGTTATTTGGCGCGCTCGTGGGGTAAATACTCCACCACGATTTTCGTGAACACGTATTTCGCAGCAGGCTCGGTACGCCCGGAGGGGTGGGGTTACGTGCAGGGTAACAAGAAACTGCGGCGTGTTACTTTTGCAGTGTCCGGGTGTTACGGCCCTGGTTACGACACCTCGCAGTGGGATGATACGGCCCAGGTTTTATCCGCGTCAGAAGCAGCCCCATACTCCAGCATAGCCTATGTGAACCAGGGAGGTTGGATCGCAGACCCTAACGTGTTGGTGCGCAGTGTGGGAGGGAAGGTGAACAACAGCGGTGGTGACAGAATCAACGTCACTGGTGGAAACGGCTCTGCTGGTGGTGGTGCCTCTTCCTCCTCGCCAAATACAACCACCCCACCTGCTTCGACCAGCAAAGACGACAAGAAGAGCAAGAAGCGGGATAAGCGGAAGCATAAAGATGACTAGGAGGAGAGGAGACAAGGATAGCAGGTTGTTGCTTGATATGCAGCGCAGGAATGACTTCACTCGGAAGAAGATACCTAAACATTGTTGTTAATAGGACATAGTAAAGGATGCTGGATATTGCAAGCCAATACCTTTGAATGGCAAAAATTACCCTCGTGTACGAGGGTTTTAATAGATGTAGATGTACACAATGGAATCAAGTTGTCCTTCCATTTACCCTATTTTGACCCATATGGCTTGTAGCGTATTCTGAGATGAGAGTGGGCATCAAGGGGGTGAATGTGAGCTGGGTCCAGGAGTGAGGGAAAGGGGGGCGAAGTAATGAGAGGGTTCTTGGCCACAACATGTTTAATTGTTCGTGGTAAGATTGGCAGCCAGGGGAGCAAAAGACATGAATCATGGGTCATAGGAACTGTTACCGTTCTTATGAATGCATAGGGTCTAAAAGTTGAGTTGCCAAGTCAAAGGATTGTGTGTGTGTGTGTGTGTGTGTGTGTGTGTGTGTGTGTGTGTGTGTGTGTGTGTGTGTGTGTGTGTGTGTGTGTGTGTTTTTTTTTTTTTTTTTTTTTTTTTTGGGTTGCGAAGCAACCCTTTACGATCGATTTTGCCAGATGTTATTTTCATAATTATAAAATTTTATAAAATCATGAAAATAAAATTTGTCAACTACAATAATACCCTTCCCATACTGTATGCATGTTGAGCAGTTTTGAATACGGTACTGTTCATAGTGCATTAAACCAAATGATATTTTTGCAATTGTTTAGTGTAGATTTGCTGTACTGTTTGCATTATATGTTACTGTTAGATGATGTTGTGTAATGATAAAGAGATGCATGCGTAATGCATAAATGATGCTATACAATGATGCTATATAATGCATGTGATATGTCATGAATGATGCACATGCACATGATAAAATGCGTGACAGTTAACAACCCAAAAACTAAGCTACCGCCATCCCCTGCCTAGCATGGGGGGGAGGTCAATAGCTTAGCTTTTGAATAATCAACTACCACATGAAACAACACAATCTGTGAAGTCTAAAAACGAGATCAACCTACCAAATCCAGTTCAAGTGAGCGTACCCGTTCGAGTGTAACTCAATGAACCTTTGGGAAATGATAGAACTGATAACAGATGCACAGACATGCATTGTTAATGAAATAACTGTTAAATGTTGGTAGGCTGTAGTGGGGTAGTCAATATGGGGTACAACCCCAACTAGGGTTTGCTACTTGTACCAATTGTTTCATTCAATGCACTCCATTCCTGCCTGCTTCTAGATTCTAACATGGTTTCAGAGCACTAAGGTCCGTAGGACCGTTTTTTTTTCGGGCCCACCTACCGCTGCGGTTACCGCGCTACCCCACGTAGCCTTGCCTTGCCTTGTATGCCTTGCCTTGCCTTGCCTTGCCTGCGCGCTGCCCCTAGAGGCCCGTAAGGCCCGCGCGCCGCCTCTACACGCCTCTACACGCCTCTACACGCTCGCACACACGCTGCTACCGAGACCGCGCAGCCCGCACCGAGTCGCGCGCAGCCCGCTGCAGCCGCGCGCAGCCCGCACCGAGCCGCGCGCAGCCCGCTGCAGCCGCGCGCAGCCTGCACCGAGCCGCGCACAGCCCGCTGCAACCGCGCGCAGCCCGCACCGAGCCGCGCGCAGCTCGCAGCTGCCGCGCGCAGCCCGCGCCGAGCCCGCGCAGCCCGCGTCGAGCCGCGCGCGGCCTGCTACGGCCTCGCGAGGCCCGCGCGCGGCCCGCAGCAGCCCGCGCCGAGCCGCGCGAGGCCTGCTCCTGCCTCGCACGGCCCGCGCGCGGCCCGCAACAGCCCGCGCCGAGCCGCGCGCGGCTCGCTTCTCCCTAGCGCGGCCGCGCGCGGCCCTTTGCCTCGGCCCTGACCTGCCGCTGATGCGGCCCCGCCCAGCAGCTGCCATGGCCCCGACCTGCCGCTGATGCGGCCCCGCCCTGCAGCTGCCACGGCCCCGACCTGCCGCTGACGCGGCCCCACCCTGCTACTGCCGCGGACGCGGCCCCGCTCTACAGCTGTTTCGGCCCTGCTCTGCAGCCGGTTTTGCGGCTCCGACGTCGCCGCTGTCGTACGCCTACTCGGGCGCCGGCCCTGCTCTTCCAGCCTTTGGTGAGCACCTGCCTGCCTGCCTGCCGGCCTGCCTGCTTGCCTGCCTGCCTGCGTGTCTACTTGCCTGCCTGCTTGCCTGCCTGCCTGCCTGCCTGTCTGCTTGCCTGCCTGCCGGCCTGCCTGCCTACCTGCCTGCCTGTCTGCCTGCCTGCCTGCCGGCCTGGCTGCCTGCCTGCCTGCCGGCCTGCCTACCTGCCTGCCTGCCTGCCTGCCTGCCTGCCTGGCTGCCTGCCTGCCTGCCGGCCTGCCTGCCTGCCTGCCTGCCTGCCTGCCTGCCGGCCTGTCTGCCTGCCTGCCTGCCTGCTTGCTTGCCTGCCTGCCGCGCCTGCCGTGCCTGCACTACTGCTACTGGCAGGAGGCCAGATGCAGCTCCAGCGACATTCACGCGAGCCTCTGACGCCCCAGCAGCTTAGTGAGTGGTATACTAGCTGGGGTTGTCGCGGTAGCCGTCGTAGCTGTCGCCCTGGAGCTGGTCAGTTGGGAGCGTCTGGCAGTGGCCAGCTGCAGCTGCAGGGACGTCCACGTGAGCCACTTACGCCCCGGCAGCTCCAGGAGTGGTACGCTCAGTGTAGCAGGTCTACGCGTACAGTCCGCTGCCCGTACGTCATTCGCACAGGTGATAGGACTGGTCAGCCTTGTGGGACGCTTGGTCACACACAGTCCCGCTGCTTCGCCCGTCTGAGCGACGACTGGCGCACAGTGTTTGGCGACGAGGCTGAGCTCCCCACCTGGCTGGAGCTGCATAGACAGAGGGTCGATATCTTTGCGCTTGACTATGATGCTATTCTCACTGCCATGTATGCATTGTTCACTAGTGCTGACCGTGCCTGTTGCCTGTGCGTACCGCCTGACCCTGGTATAGAGCCTGCTGCTCTCGATGCTGGTGAGGATGCTGCCCTAGGTGCTAGTACGTCTTCTGCTCTAGGTGCTGGTGAGGCCGTGGCTTCAGGTGCTGGTGAGTCTGCTCTCTCTGGTACTGCGCCCTCTGCGGTCTTGCACACCTTCACCCTTGACTCAGGAGCTTCCCGCTCCTTCTTTCGCGACTGCACCGCACTCACGCCGCTCCGTCGGCCAGTTCCAGTCTCCCTGGCGGACCCCTCCGGGGGCCCAGTCCTTGCCCACTACTCCACGGTTCTGCCGTGTCCGGCCGTCCCGTCTGGCTTCCTGTCAGGTCTTTACCTCCCCTCGTTCTCTACGAACTTGGTGGCGGGAGCTGACCTCCAGGATGGAGGGGTTCACCAGTTCACTCCTGCGGGTCAGCGAGTGACCCGCTGTACGTGTGCTCGGACGGGCCAACACCTGGCCACGGAGCCATGGCCAGAGCCAGAGCCAAGGCTGAAGGTGTAACCCTGTGACGACCGCTGCGTAGCCAGGTCGTCCACCCAAGAAGCGTCCGAGTGACCAGTGAGGACAACTCTGTCGCGTCCTCCAAGCACCAGCCCCATGCCTGACGTACTGCACAAGTAACGCAGCACCCTCTTAGCAGCCTCCCAGTGCTCTCGCCAGTGTCTCCCAGGCGCAACGTAACGAGCAAGGATGCTAAGAGGGTACGCGAGGTCAGGTCGCGTGCAAGTCATCAGGTACATGAGGCAGCCTACAAGCTCTGGGTACGGGCCACTCGGCTCTACGGACTCGTCCGAAGGTGGAGCTGAGAGCGAGTGGCTGGTAGCCAGAGGTGTGGCCTGTGGTGAGGAGAACTGGAAGCCGAAGCGCTGAAGGACCTGCTGCACCATGTGTGACTGAGTCAGGGTAATGGTGCGGCGTGCTCTGTCCCGGGTGATCTGCAAGCCAAGGTAGCTACGCAGCTCACCCAGGTCAGTGCAGGTGTGTCTCTTCTGCAGCTCCGACTTCACACGAGCGAGTGCCTCAGTGTCAGCAGTAGCAAAAACCAAGTCGTCGACGTACACGAGAATGTAGAACGGCGGCAGCGACGTGTCTGTGCGCAGGAACAGCGACGGGTCAGCAGTAGACGGCGCGAACCCAAGAGCCGCAAGTGTAGTCCTCAGTGTGTCGTGCCACTCACGTGGCGCCTGGCGGAGACCGTAGACTGGCCGCCGGAGGCTCCACTGGGTACCAGGAGGAAACGACCCAGTAAAGCCAGGTGGGCGGCGCAGCCAGATCTCCTCGTGCAGGCTGCCCTGCAAGAACGCTGTGCTGAAGTCAAGAGAGTGAAGCTCGTAGTCACGCTGAGCAGCAACGTGCAGTAGAACCCGAAGAGTGGTCATCTTCGGGGTGGGGGAGAAGGTCTGGAAGAAGTCAACCCCCTGACGCTGACTGAAGCCTCTAGCAACGTAACGAGCCTTGAAGACAGGCGGAGAACCTGCCGGTCGGCCGCTTCACCCTGAAAATCCACATGCCATCGACGATGTTCGCCCCAGGAGGGGGAACCTCGTCGACGTAGGTGCCTGTGGACTTCCAGGATGCCATCTCTGCGTCCATGGCTGTCTGCCACTGAGAGGAGTAGGGACCCGAGATCGCCTCTGCGTAAGTGCGCGGAGTGGGGATGTCTAGTGCATCCGGGTCTCCCTCAGGGGCAAGCAACCAGGCCACGAGATGAGGTACAGCAGCCGCAAGAGAGTCAAAGTCCTCTTGCCTGTCCTCAAGGACGTCCGTGCCAAGAGCACACTCACCCCCGACGGACGGAGGACAGACAGACTCAGACTCAGTAACAAGACCTGCGGTGAAGTCTAGACGACAGGCAGCAGCAAAGTCAACAAGCTCAGCGACAAGAGCAGACGCAGCAGCAGACTCAAACGACGGGTCAGTGACAACTGTGGCTAGGAGACGCGTGACAGTAGGGTGCTCAGCACGAAACCGGTCAGACGCCGGGTCCGGAACGTCAGGCAAAGAGGACGCAGGAGGAG